TATGGGATCATTGCAACCCTTAGCAGCAGACTGCCCAAAACCAAATCTACCCCCTTTTTCAAGGTATTGTTGGTGATACTCCTCAGCTCTGTAAAATTTCTTGGCAGGCAAAATTTCAGTAACAATCTTCCTGTTCAAAAGCTTCTGATGTTGGTCTCGGGATTCAAGTGTAGCCTTCTCTTGTTCAGGTGTATAAAAGTAAATTCCCGATCTGTATTGAGTTCCAACATCATTCCCCTGCACATTGCAAGTCAAACTGTTAAAAAAGTAATACAATATTGATATCATGAACCTGAGCGCAGAAGGCCAAAGCTCCCAAGACAACAATGCGCTCCACTGACCACAAGTAAAATAGAGAAAAATGTTGCCAATTTCATAAAAAAAATGGCCTATTATGAGGGTGTTAACTATGGTTTCAACATTAAAGGTACTAACTATAAAATTAGTCTGGATCTCTACACACTAAATTTTAAAGCTGGAATACGCTGAGGGACCCTTCAGATACTACATAAAAGCTATTTACTTTACCAAAACTTATTGGGAAATCATTATCTATCTTTCAAAAAAATTACTTCCTGAAATGAAGTCCTAAGTTGTGACAAAAATTCTGCCACAACTTCTACAGACTTCTCTCACAAATTCTGGCACAACTTCTACAGACTTCTCGAACTCTTTTTCTAACAATCCGAATAGCACATGAGAAATCACCATTATAAATTCCCAATATGCTACATAACCTGATTATGCCATTCCTAAAGTCACCACGATCCACCTTTCCAAACAAACAGCATATGCTACACCACGTTTCACTTAAAAATACTGTTCATTTTACCACCAATCATTTTATTTATCAACTTCATGAAGTCTCATTATATTGTCATGTCTAATCTTGAATCAAAATATAGAAAGGGGCTCCATCATTGTCCTGCCTCAGTTTCCCCACCAACACCTACCCGTAGTCCACAATACACTAATAAACAGTCATATGATCTTCTCACCTCCCCCCCCCCCAAAAAAAAACAAAAAAAACCCCAAAATAATAATAATAATAATAATCATCATCATGATCATGTGAACTAATAATTAGCAAGCCAATATGGAGAAATGCAATGGTGCTGCCTATCTGAATGAGTACAGCACAATGAATCAAGGAACAGCACTCATGCACAACATCAGCGGCAAAAATGCAGCTTTTTTATGTAAAACCTGTAAAATAAAACTGGATTAATCTGGATACCAAACTCCATCGGGTAACTTCTAACTTCTCAGTTCCTGACACCACCAAACCACCCCCCCCCCCCTCCTTTATGAGGAAAACAAAGTATCATATGCAGGCTTCGAAAACACCTCAAAATTACAGCCTCCAGAAGCCAAAAATCTAAAAACAACAGAAGCAAAGAGGTTCAAAAGTCAAAACAACCAAACTACAATGAAGATGTCAGTTTGTCGAAGTCTTCCAGTTTGTACAGTAGTTGTCCCAGAAAAAAGGTGAAAAAATTTGACATCAGAGGTCCATAATACACTATAATTATCAGCCTGATGTAAAACTAAGCATCAAATCTTTGACTTGTCTTAATTTCAGCTCAGTTAAATGTAAAAAGGAACTGAAAATTATCCTTAAAAATCTAAGGAAAACACAAAGCTACTTCAATAGAAATTATCCGTTATCAACAACTTGGAATACTAAAAAAAGTTGGAAGTCATTAGCAATTCCAACCGAAATTCATCAAAATCAACCATCAAAATAACCAAAAGAAGCAAGATAAAATTCCGAAGAAAAGCATACCTGGCGATTGAGAGTGGTGGGGTCATGGCGAGCCCAGAAAACATCGAGCAAAGTATCAAAGCTGCACTCTTTGGGATCATACTGCACTCTCACCACTTCGGAATGATTAGCAGTCCCCGAGCAGACGTCCTCGTAGCTGGGATTGTGAAGATATCCCTGTGAATACCCGACCTCTGTTTTTGTGACACCTGGCACTCTCTGGAACGCTAACTCCACACCCCAGAAGCAACCTGCTCCGAATTGAGCGAACTGCTGACCGGGAGTGGGGATATCATCATCTGGGCCTTGGGCAATCGAGGAGTCCATGGAGGATTCGGTCGGGGTACGCGTCCCGAAACCCAGCTTGTTGAGCCAACTCATTCTCGGGGATGAAAAGAGAGAATTGGGACGGTTGCTGTCGGAGGCGGTGGTGGTACAGGGGAATTTAAAGGAGGGTTTCGGGAAGGAGAAAGAGGGTTTTGAGAGGGACCGGAGGAGGAGGAAAGGAGGGGAGGCTTTGGTGGAAATGGCGTTAGTGGTGGTGGTGGTGGTGGTGGTGGTGGTCTTGATGAGGAACATAATTGCTACTGCTACTACTACTCCGGAATATAAAACTAGTAATTTTGGGGGCATTTGTTTGTGGCCAAAGGTAAAGATGGAATTTTGCTTTTGATGAGGTGCCAGCATGCAAATTACGTGAAGATTCCTTCAAAAAAAAAAAAAATACGTGAAGATTTATCGAGTACTAGTATATTATCAAGGACTGATCCTTTCTTTTCTTTTCTTTTATTAGTTTGTTTCTGCGTTTGGAATTCTTTTCTTTTATTACGTTCATACATTTTTATCTTATTTTTCTTTAGATTACTATTATTTTTGGCTGTTGGTCCTATTTTTTATTTGATTTTGGCGAGCAACTTTGATCGAATGTGAAAGTGCGGTGTACTATTCTCAAACAACAAAAACGTCGGATACGTATTACTGCCACGCGTGAAGATAGAATATACACGTGGGCTTGCAATGTTCACTTGCAAGAAACGTCAATTTATTGCAGCAGAATTAACTGAATTCTTTTTGTTTTTTTGCTGGCAGAGAGGAAATAAAATACTAGCAAATGCTCGTAGAACCGCAATAGTACTTAACCCCCCGCTTCAATGTTCTGGTGGAAGTTCAGAGCCTCTGCTTCAATTTGCCGAAGTCCTCAATCTTTCTGTGTCTCATACAGAAGGATTTTCTCTTCTATGGTGGAAGAATCCAGAACGCCAGCAGGCTCTCACCATTTTGGACACCGGGGGATGTTGGACCAGATTCCGTCTGGTGAATGGGAATTTTAAGGCACCTTCATATAAATAATCAAGAACTTTTTGGAAATGCGTTGAAGTCGGCGAACTTGGTCTGCTTATCCTGGCCATCGTAGCAAACAAACCCATTTAACGAAATTTATTCATACCTGTCTATGAATAGTTGGATATAAATATCTTAAGTTTTTGTGTAACGAAATTTATTCATACCTGTCTATGAATAGTTGGATATAAATATCTTAAGTTTTTGTCGTATAGTTATGAATGAATTATCCAATTATATTCATTTAATAAATAGGTATAATTGGGTAACCCACAAAACCCAATTAATCCATTTAGAACTGTCTTCCCCAAACCTCCTCTTTTCACCCACCCATTTAGAAGAAATTTGAGATCCACATTTGATTATCGAACTCATTGTTAGAGATTTTCATGCATTAATATTGCTGAAACCATATATATAGTGGAATGTTTTATTTTTTAGCCTTAATAAATATTTGATGCATTTTTGACACAGATATATATTACTTATTTTTTTTTTTAAAATTTTCATTTTGTCATGATGTTGACTACTTTTGTTTTATTTAATATTATTTTTTATTAATTTTGTCTTATCATTTTATTTTTTTCTCATAGTTTGTTAACTTGCCCATTTTTTTAACATTACAAATTTATGACAAAATTTAGTCTCTTTTCCTACCTTACCAAAACAAAATTTTGAATTCACACAAAAAAATGATAGGGATTCAAAATTTTTGAATTAAATTTTTATGTTAACTTTCATAGTACATAGTTCAAATTTTTATATTCTTATTATTCAATTATTATATAGTATATAATTTTGCAACATAGAACACAGATGGAAAAATAATTGATAATTGGAGTTATTGAACATTATAAGTAAATATTTAAAACTAATGATGGGTGCAAAAAGTGATATAAATTGATAATTTACTTTGTAAAAATGAATTTAAATAAATTTACAAAAACTTAAAATAAATGAATTATAAATAAATAATTGGATCATCAGACTCATTTTTTGACTTACTCGTTTATATCCATCTAATTAAATGAATATAAATGAATTGACTCACTTGTACCAACTACCCATTTCAACCCCCCCAAATCACCCATTTTCACACCTCTATCTATAAAGATCCCTGAGGAGTTCGTTGTGCAAACTGGGAGTTCACATATTTCGGAATCATGGGATGCTTTTAATTCGTCTAGAGTCCAGAGTAGATAATTCATGTTGCTAGACTCAATCGCCCCCGGAATCTGAAGAAATTGACCATCAAATCTTCGCTTTCCCCTGGACTTGTATTATTTCAGCTATTGGATGACTAGCTAGAAAACTTGGCAGTCCTGAAATTACTTACTGGAGCCCTTCAGGGGCAAAGTGGGGACACGAGGGAAGGGGAGTTCCTTGGACTTGAGTACTTACTGCTCATGCTCATGACAAACATGATTATCATTGCTGAAATCCAGTCGGTGAACAAAGAGTCGGTTAAATATACTGAGTGGGGATTAAAATCATTATGAGTACCAAGATTCATCTTTGAGATCGTCATCTGATCTGATGACGATGAAGTGCTGCTGTATTGTTCCACTTCGATCAATGGCTGCGGCCTGGACAGGAAGCATCGTCAAGGCTTGGGCACCTCAAGAACGGGAGGAGGATGAAGTTCAATGCAAATATGGGTTCTTGCCCAGCTTTGAATTTGAACTCTCGTAAGACCAAGTTATCATATTGCCGTTATATAATAATAATAATAAAATCCAGTATTCCAACCCAAGCCAAATTGAAAAATCAACTGCTAAACGAATATGAGGCAAACAGAACAACTCTCACATTTTGAGTCCCTGCGCTACTCGATTGGGACTTTGTCTCACTTTGAGAAACATAGCATCGTAGTAACAACCAGCAAATTAGAAGATTGTGCACAAACTCAGACCGACAGAACATGCTGACCGGAAATAAAAAAAGACAAATATCTGCATCACTAGATTTGTTTTGCGTTACACAATTCACCCTTTAAAACTAACACAATACCTACACCACCTCCGAGATGCAATAATCACGTCTTAAATTAGAAACAGGAAGAAGGGGCTGATCAGATGCGAGTCAGCTTAGGCTCAAGCCTGAAGATCCACTGATTAATGCGGAAAAGAGGGCTTATCAAGAGCAAAAGGAATAGATCTTCAATTACACAACTAGCATATCACAAACTTCATCTACTCGAACAATCACCCAAATCAACGCTATTTATAAGTTTAAATATATAACGAACTTATCAAGGCAAAGGACAACAGACCAAGCAACTTCAAAACACATGGCTTTCCTTCTGTTCCAGGGGGTCAGACCAAGCAACTTCAAAACACATGGCTTTCCTTCTGTTCCAGGGGGTGATATGGCTGACACTCAAATGGGTTTGATCTTGAAGTGGAGTGAGATAAGAGAAAACACGAAACACTTCAAATCCTGCGATTACATGACAGAACAAACAGATATTCTCAGAGAACCGAGAGTCAAAAAGCACTATTCACGCTCAATTCTATCAAAAGACCTAGCAGTTTGAACAGCGAGAGGGTATCATGGTTCTGATTGTAGGAAGCTTTAAGAATAAGCATGATAATGGAGGAATCAATGATGTTGCAATCACAACCATCTATTCAGCCATTCATTAGATCGGTAACAAGAAACATAGAGAGAACAGCACAACACGGACAGATATGTACTTCAGAAACTTCAAATCCGTGAGTGTCAAACAATGGGAGTACCTATTGACATCAAGAAAGAGAGTGCACGGTGAAGCCAAAACGAACGTGATCCTTAAAACTTAATGCTAATACCCTTTGATTAAATATTTGACAGTCTAACCAAGTTGCCCTTCCAAACTGTTGATGTAGATAACCCAAGTTCTAACTAATGCTACTCTATACTAAGCCCAAAAACACAAATTACTAGCACGAAATTTTCATAAAAACATCTTCAACTTTCTATGCACAATATGTACGCCTAAAACCGAAAATTCGATACTGAACCAAGTGGACACTTGCAATATAAACTATATAAACCCACTATAGATATAGTGTCATATGATGACAAATTCTAGCCATCCCTTCAAATTTGAACATCAGCAAGACCACAACCTTGAAACCCCAGCCCAAAGAAGCAAGAAAATGAAAAATATGGAATAAAAAGTAAGGGGGAAAAGGATACAAATGCATGTCATCAAAGTTTCTGCCTTGGTTTAGACAAGCACAACTATATTAATGTTATCCTGTTTCTTTTTCTTCAGATCCTCAAAGATAAGCCCAGATACCCATTCTATTTTCAGCCAATTAATATTTAAAAAAAAACACTGTGCAAATGCAAGGTTATTTAAATGCATCAATGGCCTGTGAAAAAACTAAAAACAGATTCTTCTTCAAAAGGAACAGTTGAAGAACAATTTAACAAAATAACAAGTGTGCCGCAAAGAATATAGTTCTCATGGTGCAATGGCAGAAAAATCTTACAACAAAGCATTGGTACAACAAATGAGAATAGACTCCAGAAAAATAAATCTTTCCTACTTCAATCATTTCCAAAAACAGCTGCCCATGAAAGAGCAGCAGGATTCTCCCATTCCCTACTATTCTACTAACCTTCTGCAGGAATACTCCCATGTGGCCTACGCATTCTATTCATATATAGAATACATGCCAAATGCACCTTAAACAAACACAACGCCATAAAGCTAAACCAATAAAGTGCTAAGAAAGCTCCTCTATAGCAATCCAAGAACTAAGCGTGCTTACAGTTACAAACCTGTGCCACAGGTTTGAGAGAGAGAGATAAAAGGCAGAAAGGGGCCACTAATGACCAACCATTAAGAATCATGCCGAGTGAAATATGAGTGCCAGCTCCCTTTCAAGTAGGGAAATGATTCAACAAATAGACAAGCTCAAGAGATCTAAGAAAGAATCAGACAACTTTAGGATTTCCTTACTTTCCAAAGTCTTTTAACTGTATCCCTTAAACTTCTATTTTATTGTGCCAACCATCTGCTTAAACGCATTGCTCATGACCTCAAAACACTATCTTCCAATTCCTTACTCTTGCAGAAGAAGGACGACTATAAAATTCAAGGAAATTGAACAAGGAACAAAAGTAAACTGAATAGCGTGTCATGAACATACATTAAGGGGCCAAAGCAGTAGACACATTACCTGAACAAGATAATAGAAGATTCGAAGACCTTCAGGATCTTTACTGGTATTGACATCCACGAGAGAACCAATCTTAGCAGTAGTAAAAGATATGTGCTCGTTCCCCATTACAATCTCCAGCTCTTGCCTTCCAACGCGATCTGGTTCTGGCCAATTGTTGTCATCTTCCTTCATTATCTAACAAACCAACAAGAACTATTTGAGTAAGTCTAACAATCTCCAGCACATCTCACACCAAACTCCCCACCTGGGGAAATTCCCTTTCATGATAAGAGGGCTAGGGTTTTTCCCCAGAAAACCCAAATTAATATTTTAAGAAGAAACTAAATTCACCAGTCAAGAAATTTTAAAAATAAAAATAAAAAGCAACATCTATGGGTTATTAATCCAAATCAAAGATATAATGTAATTGTTGGATGCAACCACAACACATCTAAAGAACTAAGCCCCCAAAAAAATTAAAGGAAGGAATAAGAAGGAAAAAGGTCGGACCTCGCTTTCAACGACGATGCGACGGCATTCTTTTAGAACGGCGGGGGTGACGAAGACCTCTTTACGGATCATGGTGTCGTTCTTATAGTTGGAATTATTAGCATACCGGAGCTTGCCGTCGGGCCTAAACTCGAACTCCAAGAACTCATGCCCAAATTTACCCTTGTGGCCGACATAGTACCTCAAGTAAAACTCCCCTGCATTTTCGTCCCCTGTCTCCGCCATGACTCTCTTCCTCCACCTCCTCTTCTTCGTTCCTAGCCTTAATGCTTTTTCTCGATTCTTTTTAATTCTCAGCCCCTGCCCTTCTCAGAAAGCGGCGTACAGGACCGCAAGACTTCACTTTTAGGCTTGGGCCGTGGGCCTTCTATAAATGTTCCAAGTGTTGGTGGTTATGTGCTTTCTCGATTCTTCAGTGTGTTTTGTCCCCGCCAAATGTACACATACTCTAAGGGTGGCATGGAGCAAGAAATTTCTCGGATAATTTTTGGAAGAAAAAAAAAAAGTTACAGCAATTTTTTATGTCACGTGACGTATGTAAAATAAAAAAATAATTAAAAAATATGTTCATACAAGCAAATAAAATTTAGTAAATATTTCACTATAAATTATGTCACGTTCGGTCAGCCGATAAAACTATATATTGTGACTGTATATAAAAAATTATAGCAAATAATATAACAACGGCATGAATTCGAACAAAATTCAGTCGTACTTGTCCCAAGCCTTTAGTTACTACCCAGAGAATTGAACTTGGCCTTATTGCACTCTTTAATAAGAGCATTATAAGTTCCAAACCAAATAGATGGAAATCTAAGGCCTTGCTTAGATTGCTGTTTTTCGTAGAAAAATTTTGTCATTTTCCGTGAACACATTTCCTTATTACCTTTTTTCCTCACATACATTAAATCGTTATAGTAATTTTTTCATGAAAAATGACGGAAAATGCATTCCAAACGGGACCTAAATCATCAATGCATTCGAACCGTATAACGCTTTCATTGTATGAAAACATGTTTCTATTATTGTATTGTACGGCAATTGCATGTAAGCTGTATAATTATAATCTGCTATTGTATGGTAACTATGGTTCAGCAATTACATATAAATCAAGTGTTTGTGCATGATATCAGGTCGAGCTTTGAGTGGGTTGGACGTGTTGTAGCCCAATTCAATGCACCATGAAATCTGGCTCAATTATGCCCAAAGTTAGCTCTGCTCACCTGCACATGACCCCGCACTTTAAACGCAAACCTTTAATTGACTCTGTCCTGTTGGCAATCCAAGACTCCAAGTTGAACTAATCTTGCTAGATATTTCAAAGGGCAAAAAACCTCAGCCACCATTAAACTATTGTCAGGATCATGTTTTGACCATCGAATTATTTTTTGTCAATAATTGATCACTAAATAACTTAATCAATAGACTCGTGGCCATTTCGTCGGTAATGACTCTTAATTTCTAAAATTAGCATGACACGTGGCAAAGCACAGGGACAAAGTTATCCAACAATTTACTGACCGTTTACCTCAGTTTTCATTAAATCGTTGAAGAGAAGGGAAGGGAAAATCTTGGTTTAGTGTGTCTGGTCTTTTGTGGAGGAAAAAATAGGGACTCAATTGGGAACCCTAAATTGGATGTCAGAAATCGAAGAAGCCAAAGAATGTCGAAACGCTCTCCTAAACCCATACGGTGTCTTGCAAGATCAGTTGAACTGTCGAGTTAAAGGCGAGTCTGTAAAGCCTTGTACCTTCCATTATCCTAAGGTTCGTGGGTTGTTCGCCGGTGTAGTTATACCGGATTGGCAGATTCCCCAGAAAATCATCGGTGAAGACACTGCTGATATTAAAGAAAGGGAAAATAACATGTTTTACCCTTCACATTTCGCAAATATATTCTTTTCGTCTCTCACTTTTAAAATAAAGCAAATTCATTCATGACATTTAAAAATTAAAACTATTACATCTCTGAACCTAATTTTCAATCTGAATCAAACCATTCAATAGCCCAGTAATAAATTTCGAAAATAGAATTGATAGATCACTCGGTCAATTTCATCATATTCACATGAAACCAACAAAATAAAAATTATAACATAAAAGGCCATTCTTTATCTTGGAATAGTGAGATTTTTTTGGTAAAATTTTTCATATACCGTTACTATATCCGCTTGCGAATTTAGATGTGTATCATAAATATAAAATTTGGTGTTTAAATTTAAATTGAAATGATATGGCGGTACATAAAACCGTCAGTGTATACAATGATAATGTAGGAAAAATTATTCTTTCTTTTTTATGTTATAATTTTTTATTTTTTCTTTTTTGGTTCATTAAATTTTACATGAATATCAAGTTGAGTTAACCAAATGATCTACCAATTACACTCTCAAAATTTGTAATCAGGTTGATTGGTGGTTTGATTCAAATTGAAATTTGAGTTTAAGGATGTAAGAATTTCAGTTTTTAAATGTCAAGGATGAAATTGTTTCGTTTTAAAAGTGGAGGATGAAAAAAATATTTTTGTGAAATGTGAATTGCGTTTCAAATTGGTTAGAGTGAGCTTGCCAATTCTCCGACCCAAAAAAAAAATAAATTAAGAAGTTAGGTTGTAATCTTGAATTGCCACCTAGCTTTCCGGAGGCGATCTAAAGAGCTAACAAGTGTCTCCAGATTCATTAGCTTTCTGTTAAAAATTAATGCGTATATCCCATAATGACCAAATAAATTTGTGGTCTTGTAAGAATCTAAACTAAAATAGGCAAGCTTTGATCCTCGAGGACTTCCGCTTTTCGAGAATCAAGATGAAAAATGAACGAATTTTGATCGAATCATTGGATCAACCTCGTCCAATCGGTTACCACACATCAACACAGTAGTGGCTTGTGTCTGGACGAAAAAGGAGATGTTTGTCCGTTAGTACGGGAAATTTTTTTGTCGAACTGTAATTGATCCGACCGACATGAAAGTTTCCGGTACGGTTAGTACGAGAAGCTGCACCTGATTCCGCAAAGCCGGGGGCCTAAAAAGCCGTTCGATCGATCCCTAATCATCCATCATCCCTTGTCACCCAGCATGCTGTATATGGCTACACGCAAACTTCTATGCGGACGCGCGCACTTAATTAGTACAACCACAGACAGAGACGCCAAAGGGCGCACAATCATGCATGTAAAACCTTTTAGGCATTTATTGTACCTTTTTGGCATTTAGTGATGCGCCCCCAGAAACCCAGCTAGTGTGTTTGAATAATTAAATAATGGCTAAAAATTATTTACTTATATCACAAATATAATTTTTAACATATATTTTTATTTTTATCATATCACAAAAAATGTTACAGTAATTATTTCAAATAATCTCTTATCCAAACACACTCGTTATTTCTTTATATGCAATAACCCACAAGGCCACGACACAATGTGCTTTTGGAATATGACCTTTTTGGAAATTCATTTTCTTTTGAAAATTTTTAAGTTTTTCATAAATATATTTTTAATAATTTTTTATTTTATATATTAAATTGTTACAATCTATTTTTTTACGAAATTTCAAAAAATAACAATTCAAAGATGATCTTTTTGGCATAGAAATGTCCAAACCCGGCAAGCCGCTTGATTCTTGTTTCGGGTTTTGGGTTTTGTTTACATGAATAAAAAAACAGTAGTATTTAGCACAACGTTTTTAATGGTCCTTATTCGTAGCACTGGATTTGCAGTTGTATCCATGTTTCAGCGGCACATATTCAACTTGTCATTCGCTTTATTTCAATTCATAATCATAGATACCCATACAAGTTGGGATTTGGGAGTATGACCGTCCCTGCACGATCTTGGCCCTCAAAATTTTGTGCGGCTGAGATTACACCATGTAACTCGATTTTCGCGTCAAGTGTGGAACCCACCACTATCTGTTGTGAAAATACATCCTGTGAAAAAAAAGTTACACGATGTTAGGCCTGTCAACGGGTCGGGTCCGGGCCGGAATTAATAAATCCGGACCCGGACCCGTTATACTGCATTACTTCCAGACCCGACCCAAATACCCGACGGGTCTCTTAATATATCTACCAGACCCGCACCCGACGGGTCTCGGATCCGGGTCGGGCCTACCCGGAAAAAGGCCCGAGAAAACCTGTTTTTGATACAACTTCAGCGCCTGAAAATGCAGTCTGATTTTTATCACATTTTGCGGACTACGCAAGCCTTTGCGAAATCAGGGAAGTTATTTAATTTGCCGAAGAAGCAGAATCGAACTTTTCTTGCCGAAAATTACAAATGAAAGAGCTATGGTGCTTGTCAGAAACAATACAACCCACATTTGATATTATACAGGAAAACATACAACTCAACCACAACAAAGCTGAAAAAGACAAAGACCTATGACTTGTTTCCAACTAACTTGTATATATTCGTAGAAATAGCTATGGTGCTTGTCACAACAGCTAGAATGACCATTGCTGTTGCTATTATTCTGTCCCTTCTTGTTGAAATGCCGTGGATATCTTTGCCAAAGGAAAAAAAAAAAAACAAATGGTTCAATTTAACAGCGAAATCACAAACCAAGAAAACAAGGGCAATTTAAGTTAATCTTTTGTTTTTTTCCCCTTACTATCCGCATAAGGTGGGTTCGGCAATACCTTAAAGCAATTATGCCTGGGAAGATGAAGGCAAGGCAGATAGCAAAAGCTCCAATTTTTTCAGCTTGCCAACCGTGAAATTTTCCCTCAACAGCTGGAAGAGTTGGGCTTCTTTGAAGCTGCAACTGTCACTCCGTCAGGCATCAGAGATGAAGAGAGCTCGCCAGTTTCACGGCGGACTGGTCACTGGCGGAGGCGGAGGATGTGAGGCGGGACTGGTCACTGGTCAGAAAAGAGGGGATGATGTGAGGCCGGTAGAAAAGAGGGAAGAATGAGACTGGAAGAGCTGGCGGAGGCGGGATGTGAGGCGGGACTGGTCACGGCAGAGCAAAAGAGAAAAGAGAGTGAGGGGAAAAAGAGATCTGCGGCGGTGGGTAGGTTAGGGTTGTATAAATTTGGGAACGAAAGTAGTAATATATAGGTATATATTTTTAATTATTAATTAATTAAAAACGGGTCCGGGTCGAATACGGGTCGGAATGGTATATTCCGTATTCGATCCGTAAATTATTAAGAGATAACGGGTCCGGGTCCGGGTCCGGGTCCCGGAACAATATACCTACCCGTACCCGGCAAATTCGTCCGGGTCCGGGCCGGGTCCGGGTCCAGACCCGGACCGTTGACAGCCCTACACGATGTACAAAGAAAGTTAAATGGTGTTGATAATGACCAAAATTAACAGGGACGGTTGCACCTCCGTCCGTGCCCCGAGTCCATACAAGTTGTGGGCTGATCAACATCTTCCATTTCT